CATGTGTTATGATCTGCTAATAAAAAGGCTTCTACTGAGGAAACCCACCAGAGAGTAGATGTAGCTGAATGTAGCTCTCTCCTTCTGCAGAAGCCGTTAAAAAATCCCTCTTCTGTGTGGACTCAGTTTCTCTTTTATGAACCTACATTTTTTAACATAACACACACTTAAGATGACCAGAAGCAGACATTATCTGTTGTCCTGGAATTTATTTATTCAGCTTTTTGTGAAATAGGTATTTTGTCATTTAATTTACATTTGTTTCTATGGTATGATATGTGAGTTTTATTGAAAGAAAGTAGATACACATCCTCCCCAAATCTACTTAGAGGTACAAATAAAGTTGATTGGTTGCATGAGCTTTTTGGATTTTGTGCACCATACTGTTTGCAGTGATTAAAGCCATTAATGCAACTGTCCTGTTTGATACCTGGCAGCAGGTCATATACTGCATGTCTTTCCCTTCTATCACTGCCCTCATTTCTGTCCAGATACAAATGAAAAAAGGCCACTTTTGCAACTTGTCCTGCTGGTCTTATTTCTTGAGATTGTAGTTATTCCTACTACCTGTAGGGGCACCAATAAGCCATACGATGTGGGTCTGTTTCCTTTTCCCTATATCTTTACTTTTTTTTCCAAATATGAAAATCGAAAAGTCTTTAAAAAGCTAATGCTATTCATTCTTAACCTTGTTAAGCATAAAATAGAGCTTGACATTTTTAAGTTTAGAAAAGTAAAAGAGTGTGGATCAAGACAAAAAAACTGAAATAATACATATAGTGACTTTTAGAGACAAAATCATCTGTGAGAGAGATATTGACTCTTTTTCTTTAAGGAGAAACCAAAAGAAAGGGGGCTTGGAGATGTTCAGTTTGTAGCTTTATTGTCAAATATTATACGCTTCCTATCAAACCTGGGAAAAAACTAAATTTAACATGGATTACTCTACAAAAAGCTGAGACCTAAGTAGATATAGATGTTTGTATAATTTCAATAAACTATCTGATGTATTAGATAAACTAATTTCTATGTATTGTTACAAGGTACTGTTTAAAAAAATGCATGAAAATACAGAATATGTACAAAGAAGTCAAACAGTTAGAACAGGCTGCAATGAACTAATCCAGAAAAGATGCCATGTTGAATATAGGACAGAAAGAATTGAAATAATGGGCGATCAAAAAATTATAACAGAATAAGTCATGAAACTGAAAAACATGGAAAACAGCGTAAATAATTAATGCTTTATTAAAAAGAAACAAAATCAATAAAAAGATGAGAGAGATTTTTGATGACAGTCTACTTTCTGTTCTTTCTCCAGGAGACAGCGTTATAGTACTTTATCCTTTAACAGGAGAGAAAGTGTTAAAGTAGTATTTATTTCAATCATCAGATCATTGGTTTATTAAGAGGTCAGAATGATGATAAAGCATTACCTTGTGATTTTTTTTTAAGTAAGGAGATCAAAAGAAAAGTAGAGATGAGGTATGGGCAGAAGACCAGGAGGCATCGAATCACTGTTGAAACCAAGTTAAGAGGGTTTGCTGGGGGCGGCAGGGCTCTAGGGGTGGTTAAAGCCCGTACTGTAAACAATAAAAAAAAAGAGAGAACTTTATTATTGTGGATTGAAAAGCTGTCTCAGTTTTTGTTAACTAAAACAAAGTTTTAATTATTGGTACTAGTAAAGCACTCAGAGAGCAAGCAACAAAGTTTGCCGCATATTGTGACTTACACCTATAGGTAAAACTCACATAGGATCTGGATATATAAAAATATTAATACATTTTTCCTGGGCATGAGTACCTCTGGTAAAAAAAAAAAAAATACTTAAAATCCATCCATAAGTTTTTGATTGATCCTGCTAACAAACCAGCAACATTCCCTTTTTAGTGTTTTTGTGCAGTAATATACCTACGGGCTTTTTGAGCCCGATGCTGAGGCTACCAATTGTCACTGCTGTCACCCTCCTGTTTAGGCTGAACATGCACTGTATGACCCAAAGCTCTGATGCAATCTATCTGCTCACAATGCACGTCCAAAAACCACACGTCAGACTCAGAGCCGAGACATAACGTTAGTCGGACTCGTCAATCTGGAGGAAGAAGAACTCTGTTGTTTGTTTATGTGCAGTGGTTGAGGTTCTGGTAAATCGACTCGTAGCTCTGCTTCAAAAGCAGCGTTTGACCACGAACACCTTACGACGGCAGACTGAATTTCTAATAGGTTTGATTTTCTTCCGACCTAGAGGCTAATCGCACCTCATTACCCACTGTATACTACATGACGCAGGACGCACCATGAGACTAAAACTCTGACGGATCAAAACAATTCTCATAGGACTAGAGAATCGGCCCAAAAAGGAAAAAAAGAAAATGTCATAGTGTATGCCCAGGCTTAGTTAGGTATGTCAACATATGAATGTACTTTTGGAGCTGGCCTCTTGAGTTAGGGGTTCAATTTTCTATTAATGTTTGATTTCAACCATAAAAAAATAAGCAAAGGAGATGCTACAAAATGAAATAGCCCAATACTTTCTGAACAATGACCAGAAAGATTCTTTTTCTCTTCTTAAGGTCTAAAGTGACCACAATTTAAGTTACCAGTAGCTACAAGAGTGACCAGAAGTGAATGTAATGGACCTTTCACCATTAAAACTGTGCTCGGTTGACCAGTAAGTGAGCTGCTTGGTAAAGAATGCTGTGGAAGCATCCAATGCCAACAGAATTTCAGATGTTACAGTGGCCAAGTTAGGGAAACAACGGTTCAAGGTGAACTTTCCTGGGAGCAGCTATGATACGCAGACTGAGCTGTTTGAGTTTCTGGAGTTGGCTACTAAGACGGTAACATTAAGAGATGGAGATTACAACAGTGCCCATTAGACATATCATTGTCTGAACAGCATGCATTGACAGCTTGAAAAAAGGTTTGTCAGACATAAGGACTTCTATAAATGCTACACTGCACTTATAACCAGAAAAGGGTTTAAAATCCCTCTTATCACCTATAAGGCCCTAAATAACCAAGTTCAATATTTTATCACGGATCTGATCATTACTTATGCTCCTTTTTCTGCTATAGATTAAGACTGCTGGAAGACTTATGAGGACTACTTTTTTACCATTTTGCTGCATTCTATCTCTGGTCTCCAATTCTGAAGTTCAACCTCTAACTTTAGAGTTTAAAATTATAGAATTGTGCTTCTGCTTAAGATGGCTGATCGTTGGAGTAGTTCTGCTAGCTTGACTCTGATATTCTTTTTTTTAATGAGAACTTAAGTTTCTCCATTTGTGCATTAGAGTTTCATCTTTCTGATATGTTTTGCTTCTGGTTTTGAATGCTGTGAAACCGAAAGGATTTTACTGACATTTTGTCTTTTTTGAACACTTGTTATAATGTGTAACCACAGCAACCATAGCAAGTTAACTTTTCACACCTGGGAGCAACTAATCAACTTATCTAAAGCTGAAATAATATATCAACTACTTTCGCAAATACAAGCTGAGTTGAAAAGGAGGCGCTGTGGAAGCCTAGCAGGAGCAAGAAGATAAGAGAGGAAACAAATTTAAGCCATCTCTTCCATCCATCATCATGGGCAATGTGAGATCTTAAGAAAAAAAGTTAGAATAACTCCAAGCCCTAGCAAGGATCCGGCCAGAATGTCAGCAATGGAGCATTATGTGTTTTAAGGAAACATGGCTGCGGCATCATGTCTCGGACTCTGAGATGGGTTGGCGGAGCTTTTGAACGACTTGCTTTTGTTGTCATCCAGGACATGTTACTGTAAAGATTCTTCACAGCAGCCAAGATATCAAACTGTTGGCAGTTGGTTTCCGACTAAATTATCTGCCCAGAGTTTAACATTGTTCTGTTAGTAACAATGCATTCCACTTGCTGCTGTTGCAGACACTGCATGTGTTGTAATCTGTTCCATTATCCCTACGCTATAAACACAACAGCCAAATGCATTGTGGCAATAACTGGTTAATTTATTCACACATCACTCTCTGCTACACCATCAACTTTCCAACAGATTGTACACTGCTGTACCAGAGAAAAAAACTTTGGGCTTGTTTCATGCAAAAGTCAAGGAGCCCTACATCTCTGAAGTGAGACCTCCTCTTGAGAAATCAGATCACAATGTTGTTTTTCTTTGTTCAGATTATAAAGCACTTTAAGTTTGCTTTGAGGCTACAGACTGGGATGCACTGTGTCAGCCAGATTGAGAGGACATCAGTGAGTGTGTGACTGACCACATAAACATCTCTGTACTACTAGAAAGGTGAAATGCTTCCCAAATCATAAACTATGGATTTGAAACTGAAGCAACTGCTTAACAAGAAAAACTAGAGTAAATGATTGATCATTTAGTTGACTAGTCAGTAAAAGGATGGATGACTGTGTCTTTCAAAGTCAATGACTCAATACCATTAGTTGAATTTCGTTAGATAGAAAAATTTTACCCAATTTTACTAAATGATATGACTGCACTTCTCTGTAAAGTGCCTTCAAATTACATGTGTTGTGAATTGGTGCAGTATAAATAAACTGACGTGAATTGGTGCTATATAAATACTGAACTGAATTGAAAGAGTGGTGGTAATTGAGAACAATCTAGAATGAGGAACCCCGAATGATTCCTATTTTCAGTTTACTTAGCATAGTTTAGCATACTTTTCAAGTTGCTGCTTGCAGCTACATGGTTGTCCAGAAGGATGTATGGGTGAGACCCAAATCAGAGATTAATAAAAATACATTATTTCTTCACACGTAACATGCCAAATATCCACACCTTCATATGTTTATGGTTTATTAATACAGTGCTTCAACTGTTCAATACATTTGTGAAGCTTTTCCAGCAGGTTATAGCACCATTTTGACCAAAATCATCTGTGCATATCGGTCCTGTAATGATGTTGATAGGGCTGAAAGCAGTCAGGATTCAGAACAGGAGTCTTGAGCTCCTTTGCTATGCTGGATAGCGTTCTCTCTGTTGACCCTATGAAAGGTGAATTGATCAGATCTGGGAACATGAGGTAGGGGCTACAATTTCAGGTACTTGTAAGACGCCGTAATTTAACCATTTGATTCATGTGTCTTGGGCCATGAAAACTTTGAAAAGTTTCAGGTCATCAGCACTCAAGGACTAAAGTTACCCTGCCCTTCTCTAGACCTAAAAACACAAAGACATTTCACATAAATATATATCTAATTTTAAATTACTTGTAAAAGTTTGACATAACAGTGGCAAAATAACAATAACATCATTACTTGATAGACATTTTCAAGCTACCTCTCCCCTCCATCATTACGGACGCCATCATGGTACAAAATGACTTCCAATACAGCTGCTTTACCTATCTTGTCAAGTGATGACGAGGTTTGAATACATTAGATTACTGCTTCAAATCCATAAATTCTTTAAAACTGTTGTCAAGTACATTGCCAAGTATTAAATTACGAGATGAATAAGTATCCTGAATTGATCACTGTTTTACTGTAGGAGGCGACAGAGACAAGATTTCTTAAATCAAAATGTGAGACAGAGAAAACAATGACAAAGAATACAGCAGGGAATGTGCTTAACAGGTTTGTTAGCGGCTTTAAAAAAAACTAGACAAGTGTCTTATTGCAAACAAGTTTCTATCCATACTTGATTTCCTAAAATGCACCTTAAACACTATTCAACTGATTCTAAGAGTGTCTAAGAGAAGAAAGGCAGTCAGCTTTTTATGGGTTTTCAGACCCACCTGCTGTTTAACCAGAATTCAAATGTTTTTCCTTCTAAATTAAATTGGGTGCATCTCTTTAATTTGTGACTGAATGTGCATGTTATGAGTTTCAAGCTGATTGACCATCTGACCTTCAACAGAGATCCAGCTGGATGGAGACTCTGTATGACCACTGATGTTACACCTGTAGAGGCCTTCATCAGAGCTGGTCACATGGTGGAGGGTCATGTGACCTTTGGGCTCAGTCCTGATGAGGGAGCCATCTTTATAGAAAGCAGCTGGGAGGTTGGAGGGAGTGGTCTTTGTTAGACAGCTCAGAGTGACGTCATCTCCCTCCATCACAGGGAGGACAGGACTCTGCAGGATCACTGATCCACCTCAACACAGAGACAAACTACAGCATTTCATCCATTTCCACACAGCTTCATCAACACTAACTCCACAGTCTGATCTTACCAGTGACAGTGAGCTGGATGCTGCTGCTGGCTGCTCCCTCTCTGGACCAACACCAGTAAACTCCACTGTCTCTTTCTAAAACATAACTGATGTTACAGGTAGAACCAGCTGGTTTCCCCCATTCCTTTCCACACTGAGTCCTGGTTCCTCTGGTTGTGTTCCTCCATACAGTCCATCCAGCAGAGCTGTTGTTCTCCTCACAGCTCAGAGACACAGAGTCTAACTCAAAGAACTGAGATCTGCTGGGACTCACAGTCAGAGCAGCTGGGAAAACACAAAGGGACATAAATTGTGTTTTTTAAATTAATAGTCATGTAAAGGTGCATTGAACCCTTATGAAAAGTCAGTGTTATATTTTTTCCCTTCCCATAAATTTGAATTGCTTAAAATGTAAAATGATCTTCCTAAAATGACATAGATGCATTTGAAGGCTCCATTGATGAGGGAGGGATTCAAGGTGAGTGCTCATTTTCACCTGGTTACTGTGTTGAGCCTCTTCTGCAGGGACAAGGGATACAGTTGGTCAACACTGTGTCTCCATAAAAATTCTTAATACTAATACACCAAATGGGACGAATTGGTTATAATCATTCTGAGATGTATTGTAGTGTCTTTGCTAAGAATAATGAAACTAAAGCTGATTTAGTCCTCCTTTACTCTGTAGGCTCGGTAGGTTTTTATTCTATTTTTAGAGCTACTATTATAATCTCCAAAACAAACATTTAAATTAAGTATCTGTGACTAAAGCATTTAGTGGGAGAGATTTTCAGTAATCCAGGTCATAGTCATTCCAAAAAAAGATAGTTCCACTAGACTTGTTTTCCAAGTTTGAAGATGTTTCGCTTCCCATCCAGGAAGCTTTTTGTCAGGACTCCTGTCTGTGTGTTTGTGTTCTGTGTTTGTCTCCCTTCCTCCACCAGGAAGAACGTTTGAGCTTCACACTGAGCAAGGGATTCATCTGCACAACAGACGGTCAAGTACTGCATGAAATCTGAGTGGCAGTCAGCTTCTCCGTTCACCTACAAACAACCACATTCTGGGTAAACCCTGTTCCGCACTCCACCGAATCAGACAAACACTGGAACAACAGCATACAGACAGGAGTCAAAGAATCAACAATTTCTTTGGAAACATGAGTCAGCAACTAAATCCACCTCTCCAAGTTCACAAATCATATTTCCCACTAAGCCTGAACTAACCACTGTGTCTTCCCCTCACATTTCAGTTCCTGTTGAGCAGTGTTCAGAGCAACACTTCTCCCTGCATAATCTCTTCAATAAACCTGTTAAACCTTTTTCCCTGGTCTCTCTGAATTGGTTACTCTGCATGTGGGACCGAGCAATTGATAAAATCATGACACTTTTTCAATTCAAAATGTCAGAAATAGCGTTGAGTTCGAAGTGGATTGTTTTTAACTTTCTTTTTTTGGAACATCTATCTGGGAGAGTTACAGGGGAGTGTCGGCCTAGTGGTTAGGGCATTGCGCTTGGATCCCAGAGGTTCTCAGCTCAAGCCGCACTCCCACGGACTGCCTCACTGGGTCCCGGAGCAAGACCCTTAAGGACTGGTTATACTCGCACAGCAGTGTGTCGCAGTGAGCTTAACGCAGACATTTTTGATTTATGCTCAATATGCGGCAGCTGAGGAAACTTAAGCTGCCAACTCGGATGATGGTGCAGTTTTACACCTCCATCATTGAGTCCATCCTCACCTACCAACTGCAGCGCATTGAGCACTCTGCTGAGAAGGTGATCGGCTGTTAGTTGCCATCTCTCCAGGACCTGTATGTCTCCAGGACCAGGAGGCGTGCAGGTCGCATCACAGCCGACCCTTCTCACCCTGGACACAGTCTGTTTGAACCTCTCCCCTCAGGGAGGAGGCTACGGTCCATACGGACCAGAACCTCTCCCCTCAGGGAGGAGGCTACGGTCCATACGGACCAGAACCTCCCACCATAAAAACAGCTTCTTCCCCTCTGCCATAAAACTCATGAACACATAACTATGTCAGACTCTATAACCTGCCCATGCCATTTACACTGCTCTATTTGCACTACCTTGTAAGATGCTATTTTACTTTTTATATTTTTTATCCATATTTTTATCCTAAGTGTATTTATTAGTCTATTTTTTGCATGCCTTATACCCACAGTGTTTTTAGATATTTTTATAATTTTATTTACCTGTTATATATTATATGTTTCATGTTGCACGATTGTACCATAAAAAATTCCTAGTTTGTGAACTCCTTCACTAACAATTGCAATAAACCTGATTCTGATTCTGATATTGAAGCGTGGGCTGCGCTTCACTGTGGGTCTGGATACGGCCGAGGCGATGAGAAAGTGTGGGTGAGTTTAGATCCAAGTGGAAAAAGGGTCCCAGGATTCTTGCGCACCTCGATCTTCTAGCTGGTAAAACTTCATGAGTTGTTTTCTGCAATTTCGGTCATAAAAACAAAACAAGCCGGCCTCCTGTCTGCAGCACTGTCTGCGGTCAGTTACAATTTGGGAGAGGTGCAGCTGAGTGTCTGCGGAGTGGGTGGGGTGGGCTTTTTGTTCACTGCGACACGTACGCAGACGACCTGGTTTAGAAGTATATATCAGCCTTAAAGCCCACACTACTCCCTGGGCGCCGCACAATGGCAGCCCACTGCTCTCCAAAGGGATGGGTTAAATGCAGAGGGTGAGTTTCTTTGCTCTGTACTTATGACAGTGTAATGGCAAGTTGAATTCTATTCTACTTTTTCCTCGGACAATTACAGAAAACCTTAAAACAATAATTGGCAGAGACGACATTAACCTAAGATAAAAATAGAGGATAAAAGTCTGCAGTACCAGGAAATATACACTCTGTTCATAAGAAACATATATTAACAAACGTATATATATATATAT